TTTGTTCATAGTTTTTTTTTAAACTATAGTCTGGCCCTCCAACGGTCTGAGGGACAGTGAACTGGCCCCCTGTTTAAAAAGTTTGAGGACCCCTGCCTTAGCATATCGTTAGCATATTACACTTTGATTGGTTAAATGAACAACCAGACACTTAGCATATTAAGCTTTTATTATATAGGATACTTCTAAGGTAGGCAGTTATTAGAAGATTAAAGAGGTAAGGCTAACAATTGCAGATGTCTCAGGGACCTTGGGAGTCTATTCCTGTGGCTAAGTAAAATAAGTCAGACAAAAAGTCAAGTACTATATGATTTCACTCATGTGGGATATAGAACTGAAAGCAACAAATAAACAAACAAAAACTCATAGAAACAGACAACATGTTGGTTACCCGAGGGAAGAAGGTGGGAGTAGTAAAGGGTGAAGGGGGTCAAATATATGGTGACAGAAGGAGATTTGACTTTGGGTGGTGGGCACACAATGCAATATACAGATCATGTACCATAGAAATTTATACTTGAAACCTATATAATCTTATTGACCAATGTCACCCCAATAAAAGATTAGACCCTAGGCTTCCTGACTCTTAATCCAGTTCTTTTTTCATAACAGAAGCTTATAATTCTAATCAAAGCTCTACCCCAAAGTCATCTCACTGCCTAAGTAACTTCTTTCTCTTGGCCTCGGTTTCCTTCTCTGGAAAAAAAAAATAATACAGACAACACCCTGTAGAGGTACTAAAAAGAATATTGCAGATTGGAAAAAGGGAAAGTTAAAGAAATCACCAAGGCTTGGTCTTGTTTAAACCTCGCCTCATGATGCATCCTGTGCCACTATCCTACCTAGTCCTTCGCCTTCAGAAGCTGCCGTCAAGCACTATGACCCCAAGCAGGGTCTCCCTGAGACTTGCTTAGAAACTGATGAGGCCCTCCAAGCTGGTGTCTCTCTGGTTGAACGGGAACAGTGATTCTATAACCCTGGGAACTGAATTTCTAATAGCCTGTCTGCTTGATTCTCAGGATAGCTTGGGAACTGTTGAGAGGACCCAGGATTCCGAAGGTTCCTTCAAACTGGAGGATCCCACAGAAGTGACCCCAGGATTAAGCTTCTTCAACCCTGTCTGTGCCACTCCAAACAGTAAGGTAGGTAGGCTAAAAGGCAGGCATTTCCAGCTGTATTATGGTCCATCTCTGCCTTAGCTCTGACCGACAGTGGTGGGGGGAGGGGAGAAAGGGCCAATGTGCTTCTTGGGAACTGGGAATGGAGCATAGAGTCTGTTTCTTCCTGCTTCCTGCAGAGCAATCTTACGGAACACCTCATACTATTGGAAGTGTACTGGGCATCTGTGGGGGCTGAGCTGGGCTGAGCCTCTGCCCCCACCTGAGATGTAGTCATACCTGTTTCTTTCCCTCCTAGATCCTGAAAGAGATGTGTGAAGTGGAGCAGGTTCTGTTAAAGACTGCTCCAGACACCTCCTCCCTTGGCCTCCCAGACTTGAAACATGTAGCCACAGAATCCCAAGAAAATAAAGCTCCAGGGAAGAAAAAGAAACGAGCTCTGGCCAGCAATGTCAGCTTCTTTTCCGGCTGCTCCCCTATTGAAGAAGAGGCTCCCTAAAATTGGACTCATCTCTGCCCCAGTCTGGCTTACAAGACACCTTCTGGTTGCAGCCAGAGGAGGTTTTTTAATGACTCCTCTACATTTCAGGTTTCTTGCTGTTGATAAAAGGGACAGCATGTTACTGAAAAGGAAGGAATTTTGTTGGCTCGGTCCTCAGTTTCTAGCCCTCCAGCCCCAAACTATTGCTCTCTCCTCTCTAGAAGGGTGCTAAACCGCCTGCTGAAGACAGAACCAGCTGACCTTCCTGCTGACTCTTTGGGAACCAATCCCCAGTACAGTCAAGCTCTTTCTGATTTGCCAGCAGTTCAGGCTGCCTCCCAGGGCTGTCTTATCTCTAGGCTCTCTCAGCTTAATGACAGAGCCTACCCTGGGTGGGACGCCTGACACCCATCTTTCAACCCACCTCAGGAAGTGGCTCTTCATGGTCCTGAGGTAAATGAAATCTTTAAAAATGTTAGTTTTTTAAAAGAAATAAAGAAATAAAGCTTAGTGCTTCTGTTGTTTGGAAAGATCCTTCTGTGCTATATTTTCAACCCGTGTTCCTCCGCCCCTGGGAATGCCAGGCAAGTAGCCAGGCCCCACCGCCTTGTCATGGCCCCTGTCCCCTAAGAGCCGTATGGAGCAACACATTATGTCTTAACGTCATTCTGCTACCTCAGAAAATTGTAATAAAACTAGCAAGGCCAGTGGCCTGATCTCCACTGTACAGCCCGCCCAGCCTCTAGATTTACGAGAAAGGGATATATTTACCAGGCATCCCCATGCACCTGCCACAGTTTTATTTAAAGTCACAAAGTTAGTGGGTAATGGAGCTAGAACTTGAACCCAGGTCTAATACCAAAGCTTCATGTGTTTAGTAGAGTGGCAGTGGTGGCAATCCCTAAAGCCCTGCAGCCTGACTTCTTGCTTGAGCATATGCCTTAGGCCACACTGCTACCTGCTTTCTCCTTTGAAAGGGGAGCAGAGGGCTGTGCTTACTCCTTACTGGGCATCAGAGTTCTCCATCTCTGCTTAAAACTGCAAGGGGGCCAGCCCTAAAATGCCAAACACAGGTTGCTGACTGGCCTTAGAGCCTTCTGAAGAATTTTCAAGCCCTGGGCCTCTCATATCCATGCATTCTGAATCCCAGTCTCCCCTCTCACCACCCCGCCCCCAGTAAAAGCTTCCAGAGCACCTCCCAGAACTCAGCACATGAAAGCCCAGACTCCTCTAAAATCCACCAGAGCCAAGCAAAGGAAACTAAAGGACAATCTGCTGGGAATGAAGCCTGCAGGAGGACTAGCTGCCCTGCAGCCCTCTCTGGCCTTCTGCCAGCAGGCAGCCCTAATTCTCTGCATTTTAATGTCCAGGAAGCAAGAGAGCCTCTTGCATTGCCAACTAGAGCCCCTGGATACAATGGGAAAGCAGAGAGGGAGGAGGGCTGTCTCTTGGCATAAGAGAGCCAGTCTTCTCACTCTCCCAAACCCAGTGTGTGTGGGGGGATGGGTAAGCTATCCCCAGAGAGGCATCCTTTCCCACCAACAATGCATTAACCCATAGGCTTTGAGCCATCACATCTTAGAGCAGCGGTTCTCAACCTTTGGGTCGCGACCCCTTTGGGGGTCGAACGACCCTTTCACAGGGGTCGCCTAAGACCATCAGAAAACACATATATAATTACATATTGTTTTTGTGATTAATCACTATGCTTTATGTTCAATTTGTAACAATGAAAATACATCCTGCATATCAGATATTTGCATTACGATTCATAACGGTAGGAAAATTACAGTTATGAAGTAGCAACGAAAATAATTTTATGGTTGGGGGTCACCACAACATGAGGAACTGTATTAAAGGGTCACGGCATTAGGAAGGTTGAGAACCACTGTCTTAGAGGGAAGGTCAGTCCCACCCAGAGCCCTACATTTTAGCACTAAGCTGACTACAAGTGCTAGCCAGCCCTGTCTGCTGTGATGTAGTAACAGTATCTTTTGTACGTTGTGGACAAAAGAAAGGGCTACATAATAAACCTAACAAGCTCAAGGGAGGCCTGCGTGGTGGCCTTACAGACTCAGAGACCTAAAGTAACCACATAGGATGGTCTGAACATAAAAATTCCTAACTAAAACCAGTTTGGGGGGGGGGAGTCACATTCTAGGCCTGTATATCTTCTTTGACATAGTTCAATCTTTACCCTAAGTGAGCCTGTATATTGTCTTTTTGCATCTAAGATAACATACCCTTGGAATGTCAGAGTAATCTCATCCAGATCCCTCAGGGCACACCAGAGCAGAAACTATGAACCCTTCATTGTTATCTTGTTGCCTACATACCATCTGTATGTGTTGTAAATGCTAACTATCCTGTACCCACCAATGTAAAAGATGTCTGAGTCTCTCCATTTCACTCTTTATCCAATTCAGAGATTTTCCTTCTTTTCTTTCTCCTGACCCCTTAATCTACCATCAATGGATTTCATGTAACCCTCCTTAAGTCTCCTGCTTTGATTCTAGTGTATAAACTAGGCTGTAAAACTGCCATTCTCAGAGCGTTTTCTCAATCCCTTGAGATTTTGCTTCCCAGAAATTGTCCGTTTGGCTCGAATAAACTTATAAAAATTATCTACAGGTTTGAACGTTTCTTACATCGACAATGTGTTCATCTTTCACAATCCAGTGACCCTAACTCCCTATACTCCTCAAATGATTCTTAGAAGGAGACTTTAGATGCCTTGGAGATAAAGCAGCTGGAATGATGCGAGTCTCGGCCATCCTGAATGAGCATATACTGTCTGGGGTGATGGATGGGAAGGTTAGGTGCCACAAAGCCCATGGGGACCCCGGCCTAGAAGCAGGGTGATCTGCTGTCCAGATATCAGGAAGTAGCTTGCAATTCTCTCTTCTTGATGCACTTTGCAAAAGTGGGAGTAGACTCCCAAGAGGGAAAGGAGGCTGATGAACGAAGGCTGTCCTCCCATGAAGCTTGAGACCAAATGCTGGACTCCCTCACACACACCCCTCCCCAGGGGGGAGGGTGGGCCCCTTCTCTGGAAAGTTGCAAAGTTGTGTAGTCACCTCCCCCCAGCTTCCCTCCCGCCTGCCAGTGCCCTAAGCCCTCGCCTCCCAGAGACAGGACAAAGCCCTGGCAGTGACTGAGGGGAGCAGGAGGAGGGACAGAGGAACCGGGAAGGCTGTACAAAAGAATTCCTCACCCCAAAGCCCCCTGACCGGCAGCAGCGAGTAAAGAAGCAGATCTGCTCTCCCTCCCCCTTCCCCCCTCCCATCTTCCCACCCAAACGGCACAAGCCAGAGAGCAGCTGCAGGCCTTCAGAGAGGACCCACACAGCCTCCTGTAGGTGGCAACAGTGCCACCTGTTTGACTGGTGGGGCAGAGCGGTGGACTGAAAGAGAGAGGAGGCACACAACTCGAAGAGGATCTGGGAAGCGGTGCAGTGCAGAGCCGAGAGCAGAGCTGCCGCTGAGAAAAGGTGTGAGGGCTGGGAAGGCTGGGGGGCTACAGGCAGCGGGGCGGAGGCTGGCTCCAACCTGCAGGGATTGGGCAGCACCCCTGCTCAGCTTCCTTGAGGGTTTTTCAAGCTGCTCAGATCTGACCCCATTCTCTAGACAGCTCCTGGAGGGAGGTGGGGCTCTGGCAGGCAGTGCCTGGGGTACTGGGGGCAGGATCTGAGAGGAGGCAGGAGGTGCCGATGGAGCCCAGGGCAGGCTACCACAACCCAGTCCCAGGGTGGGAAGAGGCAGAGCCTCCCTTTGGGATGACTTTTTCCTAGGAGGGAGCTCAGGAAGCAGAGAGGTTTCCTTCCCCCAGCCTCAGGCCCCCACCCCTCCACAGCCTACCCTAACCTCCTTTCCCAAGGCAAGCATAATGTAAGGAGGGCTGTTTCAGGAGTAGCTACACCCTCCCTCCTTTCAGGGGCCCAGCCACTGTGCACCCCTCTAAGACTCCACGGCCTCCGGAGAGCTCAAATGACAAGGGGTTGTGTCCCACAGATCACACATACTTTGGGTGTATTTAGGAGCTCTTTACACACCCAAAGTCATCAACAAACCCATTTGTACTGCCAGCCACGAGTACACACGCACAGACAAGTGCTGACACAAATCGCACCCCTTCTTAGGAGAATCACCATCACACACCCAGCCTAGTTTGGGATCAATTAAGCCAACTCAGTCTCAGCCTGACCCAAAAGCACAAGGTACAGGGATCGCCTGCCCCAGGACAACCACACCACCCATACCTTTGGCCTGTATTTGTTGCACTTTCACCTAAGGGACCTCAGAGGGTGGGGCCCTGAAAAGGGGGAGGTGGAGACTGGGTTACTGATTGAGGTGGGGGGGGATGACTGGGCGGGAAGTGATCGGACTGGGGCAAGAGGGCTTGGATTTTCCAGGTGTGCGGACAGGAAAAGAGCCCCTTAAGTCTGGGAGTGACCCAGACTGCCTGTTCCTCTGGCTTCCTCTTATTGGCTGTGCTCCCTGCCCCCCTGGAAGGTGGAGACAGAGAATCTTTCAGTCAGGGCTTTGTGATGTGTGTAATCTGTATCCATAGTAACTGGCCCACTAGCTAGGCCTCCCTTTAGCCCCAGGTCAGAACTGGAACTTCAGCCTCATGTTACTCCTAATTCCTGGGGCTGCCTGAAGCTTGGTTAAATCTGCCTCAACTTGTTGAATTGAGTTTGCCCCACCCCAGGCAGTTTCTCCTGTTAAATGGGCATGCTATTAGGTAGGAGAGATTGCATTGCGTGTTCATCCTGCAGGCCAACAAGCTGGATTTCCCAAGTGTCCCAGACTGACCAGGTATCCAGATTAAAGGGAAAGACCCTGGAGATTGTCGTCCTTTGCTCACCTCCTCATCCACTCTGGCACACAGGACCTGCTCCATGACCTCCATTGCTGGGCAGCAGCCCAGGCCTTTGCTTCTCCATCAGGCTCCTCAGATACACTGGGAGGAAGGCTGGGATCTGCCTTCACCAGGGTCCCTGATGGCAGAGTATCTCTTCCCCCAGGCCCTCACCATGGCCAAGTCCCCCAACTGCTGCTCCGTCTGGGCCCGCAGCATCCACTGCCTGTATAGCTGCCACTGGAGGAAGTGTCCCAAGGACAGGATGAAAACCAGCCAGGTGGAGTAGGGATGGGGGCACCTGAAGTCCAAGGCAGAGGCCTCGTGAAGGGGAGAAGGAGGCTAAGGAGGCCACTGCGCTCAGAGGCAGCTGGGGGTGGAGGGAAGGGGCTTTCTCTCCCCAGGAAGAAAATCTCTCTCAAATATGGAAAGAGCTGCTGGCAGAGCAGAGCAGCCCAACGCCTGGCAGGAAGTCCCTTTAAGCTGCCATCCGTTGGGGACTTTGAGCTGAAAGTGGGAATCGGCTGTGAACTTCTCTCCTGCTCCTTTACAGTGTGAATATATGTGGTTTGGCCTGCTCTTCTTCACTGTCCTCCTCTCCTTGGGCTGGCTGTACATCGGGCTCATCCTTCTCAATGACCTGCACAACTTCAATGAGTGTGTCATGGACCCCCTGCCTCAGCAAACATGTCAACCTATTCCCCACACTGGGCCCCTGGGTGCTCAGTCATCCCCAGCCCTGCCTATCTCTCCTGCTGCCCAACATCCTTAGAAGACCCCTCCACAAAGGCTTCCCAGTCCTTGGTGTCCCTGGCCCTGTGAAAGGCTGCCCCTCACTACCTTGTAGTCCTCCTTCTTGGTCCACCCACCCCAACTCCCCTCAGGCCCCTGCTGACACCCCTTCCTGCACTCGGATACCTCCCTCTCCCTTCCCACAGATTCCTGTTCCGCCAGTGGGGACACTGGATGGACTGGTCCCTGGCATTTACGCTTTTTGTCTCTCTACTGGTCACATATGCGTCCCTGCTATTGGTGGGTACTGGCCTAGCCCCCACCTCGGCCCTTCCTTCTGGTTCAGCTCTACCCGTCCCACTGTGGGGAGGGGAAGAGGGAGGTGTCAGCCTGGGAAGCCCACCTCAGTGGCCCACCTCTTTTGGCACCTCATTACTTCCAACACCCTCTACCCCCAGCTCCTGGCTGTGCTCCTGTGGTTCTGTGGCCAGCCTCTACACCTGCACAGTGTCCACAAGGTAAAGTGGGAATGGGAGTGAGCAGGAAAAGGGGGCTCCTGATCCCAGCATTTGGTTGGCTATTTGTCGAAAACCTCACTATTCTAACCCCGGGCTCAAACTGAAGACCTGAAGCCCAGTAGATGTTTGTTAACCGAAAGAAGGAAAATAAAGGAGTCAGGGGAGGAGAATGGTTCTGTTTTCATAGAATGAGGAGCAGCCCAAGTAGCCTATTCATCCCGGGTCCCCCAGGTGCTGCTGCTCCTCATTGTACTTCTTGTGCTCGCTGGACTCGTGGTACTGGATGTCCAATGGCAGGAGGAGTGGCTTAGCCTACGTCTGTCACTGTGGGTGAGTGGCTGATCTCCAGTCCCTGGTTGGGAGCCTGGGCCTGTGGCCAACCCCAGGACCTATCTTGCTCCCTGGTCCCCCCAAACTGCAAGTAGGTCTGAATTCTAAAAGTCAGGTCCTCAGAGAAGAAAGGGAGGACAGAGTCCTCCTCACCAACTCTCCTCCATAGGCCACAGCCCCGTTCCTTCACATTGGAGCTGTTGCTTTCATCACCATCCTGGCCTGGCCTGTGGCTGATAACTTCTACCATATCCACAAAATAGGTACCAACTCCACTCCCACACACACCCTCACTGGCCATCCATGCTTCAGCCTCCTGCTGCCTGATTCCCTGCACCTGCACTCTGCTTTCTGCCCCCAGAGCTCGCCCGCTGCCCCTTCTCCACAGCTGGTCCCCCACTCCTCACAGGCCACAAGATTGTGCTACTGTTCGTGTATTTTACAATTGTCCTGGCCATCTACCTGTCCCCCCTATGCATCTCCTCAACCTGTATCATGGAACCCAGAGACGTATCCCCCAAGCCTAGGCTGGTTGGACACCGCGGGGCCCCCATGGTGAGTGTGGGCAGAATGCTGGCAAGGCAGGGAGGGTCTGCAGTGGCTACACCTGTGGGTTCCCAGGCTCCTACCCTTCCCTGTGACTGCCTCACCAATTCCCTCTTCCAGCTGGCCCCTGAGAATACCCTGATGTCCCTTCGGAAGACAGCAGAATGTGGAGCTAATGTGTTTGAGACCGATGTGATGATCAGGTGAGGGAAACTGGGGGCTGACAGACACAGCAGGGGAACTCCGAAAATGAGAGCAGCCCCAGAGCTTGGCCCTCTGACATCCTTCATGCCTTCAGCTCCGATGGGATCCCTTTCCTCATGCATGATGAGCACCTGAGCAGAACCACAGATGTGGCCTCTGTGTTCCCAACCCGAATTACCGCCCACAGCAGCGACTTCTCCTGGGCTGAACTGAAGAGACTCAATGCTGGGGCCTGGTTCCTGAAGGTGAGGACAGCGTCCTGGAAGAGATAGCCACCTGCAGTGGCCCTCAGGGCAGAGTTCATTCATTGATAAGCGAGTGCTGAGTGCTGTGCTGAGCAATAGGTATACAGTCTGCCCTCAGGTCATAACCTCCTAGTATAAATGAGAGCTTTGGCAACAGGCTATCAGAATATGAAAACTACAGCGATAACAGTATCGATAATTACTGAGTAGAGAGGTCACTGTTTGGCAGGGTGCGTGTGGGACAGGGTCAAGCATAGTTTCACAGAAGAGGACACCTGAGCAGTTTTTAAGATGGACAAGGCAGGAAATGGGAATTCTAGTCAGAGGCAAGAGCATGGGTAAAGCCCAGAAGTATGAAGAAGTGTTTTCAGGGAACAGAAAGTGGCTTGGTGGCACCAGGAGATAAGAGCAGTGGGAGGGGAGACTGGTGAGGGGAGCAAAGGCTTGGTCTTAGAAAGCTTCAAATGCCAGGCCCAGGTGTGTGGTGGACTCAATCCTGCAGGTGATGGAATACATTGCAAAGGATACTTAGTTTTTTCAGTTCTTCTTTTCCTGATTATGAAAGTAATACATGTTCCTTGTAAAAAAGTAAAACATCAGCCCTGACCGGTTTGGCTCAGTGGATAGAGCGTCGGCCTGCGGGCTGAAAGGTCCCAGGTTCGATTCCAGTCAAGGGCATGTACCTTGGGTGCGGGCACATCCCCAGTAGGAGGTGTGCAGGAGGCGGCTGATTGATGTTTCTCTCTCATCAATGTTTCCACCTCTCTATTCCTCTCCCTTCCTCTCTGTAAAAAATCAATAAAATATATTTTTTAAAAAAGTAAAACATCAGAGAAATAACTTAAAAATTAAAAACTCATAATCCAATCCCCCTGAGATAGTCACTGTTAACAGTTGGGTACATATTCTATATATACATATGTATACATACAGATATATGCACACACACATATATATTTTTCATTTTGCACCAATAGGACCACTTCACATATTCTTTTGCAACTTTCTTTTTTTTCCCCATTTAACTCTCTATATATTTACATATCAGAGTGTTAAGAACAAGGGATATCTGGGTCGAATCCTGGTTTCACCACTTCCTAGCCTTGTGAGCCTGAGCAACATTCCTTAGTCTCTCTGTGCTTCATTTTTCTCATCTGTGAAATGGGAATAATAAGCGTACCTTGCAGGATTATTGGAAGGATTCAATAAATTGATACACATAAAGTACTTCTTTTATCTCACATTTATTTTGTATTCATTTATTTGCTCATGTAAATATGAGCATATCTGTTCTTATTTTACACAATGAGTAATATTATGACTATGCTCCAATTTCCTGCTGGTGACAAATTCACCCAATAATCACTTATCTGGAAAAGTCTTCTTTTTGCACCATTATTTTTTTTATTAGGACTTTATTTGAAAATGTGAAAGTATGTATTAAGAGAACATGTGTATTATCACTTTTTTATTGAGCTTATTGGGTGACATTGGCTACTAAAATTATAGAGGTTTCAGGTGCACAATTCTATAACACATCATCTGTATATTGTATTGTGTGTTCACCATCCTAAGTCAAGTTTCCTTCCATCACCATTTATCCTCCCTATGCCGTCTTCTACCTTCCCCCACCCCCTTTCTCTCTGATAATCATCATATTGTTGTCTGTGTCTATGAGTTTTTGTTGTTGTTTTTTAAAAATATTTTTTATTGATTTTTGGAAAGAGAGGAAGGGAGGGAGAGAGATAGAAACATCAATGATGAGAGAGAATCATCATCGATCAGCTGCCTCCTATGCCCTGACTAGGAATCGAACTGGTGACCTCTTGGTTCATGGGTCGACACTCAACCACTGAGCAACACTGGCCAGGAGTTTTTTGGTTGTTTTTTGTTTGTTTGTTTGTTTGTTTGTTTTTTGCTTAATGCTTTCACCTTTTTCACCCAGCCCTACAACCTCCATCCACTCTGACAGCTGTCAGTCTGTTCTCTGAATCTGTCATCACTTTGTTGGTTTATTTTGTTCATTAGACTCCACATATAAGTGAAATCATATGGTACTTGTCTTTCTCTGACTGGCTTATTTCACTTAGCATAATGCTGTCTAGGTCCATCCATGTTGTTGCAAAAGTAAGATTTCTTTTTTTTTTTTTAATTTTTATTTTTCGCTAAAAGTATTACAAAGGGTATTACATAAGTGTCCTTTTCCCCCCCGCCCTTGACAAGCCCCTGCCCTCCCTTACCCCCCAGTGTCTTATGTCCATTAGTTATGGTTATATGGATGCATACAAGTCCTTCGGTTGATCTCTTACTCCCCTCCCTCCTGTCCCCCAACCCTCCCTAGGTCCATCCATGTTGTTGCAAAAGTAAGATTTCTTTATTTTATTTTATTTTTTTTTACGGCTGAGCAGTTTTCCATTGTGTAAATGTACAACTGCTTTTTTATCTACTCAGCTACTGATGGGCTCTTGGCTATTGTAAATAATGCTGAAATGAACATAGGAGTGCATATATTCTTTTGAATTAGTGTTTAGGGCAGCCGTGGGCAAACTACGGCCCGAGGGCTGGATCCGGCCCGTTTGAAATGAATAAAACTAAAAAAAAAAAAAGACCGTACCCTTTTATGTAATGATGTTTACTTTGAATTTATATTAGTTCACACAAACACTCCATCCATGCTTTTGTTCCGGCCCTCCGGTCCAGTTTAAGAACCCATTGTGGCCCTCGAGTCAAAAAGTTTGCCCACCCCTGGTTTAGGGTTTCTTCAGGTATATTCCTGGAAGTGGAATTGCTGGGTGATAAGGCAATTCCATTTTTAATATTTTGAGGAAACTCCATACTGCTTTCTACAGTAGCTGCACCAATCTGCATTCCCACCAGCAGTGCACTAGGGTTCCCTTTCCTCCCCATCTCTGCAAGCACTTGTTTGTTGATTTATTGATGGTAGGAATTGTGAGGCGATATCTCATTGTGGTTTTAATTTGCATCTGACTGATGATTAGGGACCTTGTTTTCATGTCTATTGGCCATCTGTATGTCCTCTTTGGAGAAGTGTCTATTCAGGTCCTTTGCCCATTTTTAATTGGATTGTTTGTCTTCCTGGTCTTGAGTTGTATAAGTTCTTTATATATTTTGGAAATTAGCCCCTTATCAGATGTATCATTGGCAAATATGTTCTCTCATTCGGTGGGCTGTTTATTCATTTTGTTAATGGTTTCCTTTGCTGTGGAAAACCTTTTTAGTTCGATGTAGTCCTATTTATTTATTTTTCTTTTGTTTCCCTTGCCAGAGGTGATATATTAGAAAAAATATTGCTAAGAGCAATGTCCAGGATTTTACTGCTATGTTTTCTTCTAGGAGTTTTATGTTTTCACATCTAACATTTCAATCTTTAATCCATTTTCAGTTTATTCTTATGTGTAGTGTAAAATGGTGGTCTAGTTTTTTGGTTTGTTTTTTTTTTGCACATATATGTCCAATTTTCCCAACACATTTATTGAGTAGACTATCTTTATCTCATTGTATGTTTTTGTCTCCTTTGCCAAATAATAATTGACCATAAAAGCGTGGGTTTATTTCTGGGCTCCCTATTCAGTTCCATTGATCTATATGCCTGTTTTTATGCCACCACCATGCTGTTTTGATTACTGTGACCGTGTAGTATAGTTTGATATCAGGTAGTGTGATACCTCCAACTTTGTTTTTCTTTCTCAAGATTGCTGTGGCTATTCGGGGTCTTTTGTGGTTCCATATAAATTTTTGGAATATTTGTTCTAGTTCTGTGAAATAAGCCATTGGAATCTTTTTTAAAGTATATTTTTATTGATTTCAGAGATGAAGAGAGAGAGAGAGAGAGAGAGAGAACAGAGAGAGAAAGAGAGAGAACACATCAATGATGAGAAAGAATCATTGATCGGCTGCCTCCTACACACCCCACACTGGGGATCCAGGAATTGAACCATGACCTCCTGGGTCATAGGTCAACACTCGGCCGGGCGCATTGGAACCTTGATAGGAATGGTATTGATTCTATAGATTGCTTTGGGTAGTATGGACATTTTAATGATGTTAATTCTTCCTATCCATGAGCATGATATATGCTTCCACTTGTTTGTATCTTCTTCAGTTCTTTCTTCAGTGTGTTATAATTTTCCAAGTACAGGTCTTTTATATCCTTGGTTAAATTTATTCCTAGGTATTTTATTTTGGATGCAATTGTAAATGGGATTGTTTTTTTTAGTTTCCCTTTTGTTGTTGTTGATGTTGTTGTTAATCCACACCTGAAGATATTTTTTCCATTACTTCTTTTAGAGAGTAGAAGGGAGGGAAGGAGGGAGAGGGAAAGAGAGAGAGAAACATTGATGTGAGAGAGACACATTGATTGGTTGCTTCCTGCACACACCTGACCAGGACCAGGGATTAAACCTGCAACCCAGGTATGTGCCCTTGACTGGGAATTGAACCAGAGATCCTTCGGTGTGCAGGCTGATGCTCTAACCACTAAGCAAACCGGCCATGGCAAGTTTCCCTTTCTGATAGTTCATTGTTAGTGTATAAAAATGCAACCAATCTCTGAATATTTATTTTGTATCCTATTTTACTGAATTCATTTATCAGTTCTAGGAGATGTTTAGTGGAATATTTAGAGTTTTCTATATACAGTATCATGTCATCTGTAAAAAATGACAGTTTTACTGCCTCCTTTCCAATTTGGATGCCTTTTATTTCTTGTTCTTGTCTGATTGCTGTGGCTAGGACTTCCAGTACTGTGTTGAACAGGAGTGGTGAAAGTGGACATCCCTGTCTTGATCCTGTTCTTAAGGGAAATGGTTTTAGTTTTTCCCCATTAAGTATGATGTTGGCTGTAGGTTGTCATATATGGTCTTTATTATGTTGAGGTATGTTACCTCTATTTCCACTTTGAGAAAAGTTTTTATCTCAAATGGGTGCTGGGTTTTATCAAATGCTTTTTCTGAGTCTATTGATATGATCATGTGCTTTTTATCCTTTATTTTGTTTATGTGGCATTTCACGTTCATTGATTTGTGAATATGGTACCAAACTTGCATCCCTGGGATAAATCCCACTTGATCATGGTGTATGATCTTTTTAATGTATTGCTGGATCCGGTTGTTAATATTTTGTTGAGGATTTTAGCATCTATGTTTATCAGGGATATTGGCCTATAATTTTCTTTCTTTGTAGTGCCTTTATCTGGTTTTGGGGATAATGCTGGCTTCATAAAATGCGCTTGGGTCCACCATTATTTTTTATTCCTTTTTTTAAAATCCTCACCCTAGGTCAGAGGTGACACGTGAACTCATTTTTTTGGTTGATTTTTCTTTGTTAAATGGCATTTAAATATATAAAATAAATATCAAAAATATAAGTCTTTGTTTTACTATGGTAGCAAATATCAAAAAAATTCTATATGTGACAGGGCACCAGAGTTAAGTTAGGGTTTTTCAAAATGCTGACACGCCGAGCTCAAAAGGTTCGCCATCACTGCCCTAGGATGTCTTTTAAAAATTGATTTTAGAGAGAGAGGAAGGGAGAGAGAAAGAGAGAAACATTGATGTGATGTGAGAGAGAAACATCAATAGGCTGCTTCCCATATGTGCCCTGACTGGGGATCAAACCTATAACCTAGGTATGTGTTTTGACCAGGAATCAAACTGCAACCATTTTGGTACACCACAATTTTTTGGTACACTAGATGATGCTCCAACCAACCAAGCCACCCGGCCATGGCTGACATTATTTTTGAAGGATATTTTCACTGGATATAAAATTCATCAATGAGATTTTTTCCCCATAACTTTAAAGATTTCATACTTGACATCTTTATTATATTCAAGAAATCAACCATAATTTTTACCTTTTTTGCCATATTCTTTTTGCTTTTGTAGAAAAGTAGATATATGGAAGTCCTTACTATGACATTCCAGAGTGCTTCTTGTCTACCTAATCTTTCAACATTCAAAGAGGAAATTTTCACCTGCCTCCTAGACAGGGTCTGTTGCATAAAGTACTTCTAACACTACCTGGCACATAGTAAATACTTAATAAGTGCTAAGTAACTTGCTTTTACCAGGTCAGTGATTAGGAGGTAATTTGTTGATTACAAAGGGAAGAGAAGAGTGACCCAGGTTTGGAATAGCCTCTAGGAGAAATGGGGGAGAGAGAGTATATCAAGGACAAGAAAACAGATGGCTAAGTGGCACCAAAGAGAAAAACAGGACTGCAGTGCCAAAAGTCCACATAGTGTGCTCTGCCTCCTGGGGCAATTGTAGAATTGAATCAAAATTTGGACCTGTAGAACAGGTAGGTTAAGAAAGCTGTTGAAGGTGCTGTGGAAGAGTTCAAACTGTGGAGGGACCATGGGAAGGGGGTGTAGGTAGAGCCAGAAAGCTGCTGATATTGGGATAAAACCAAGGGGTCACAATCCCAGAGATCTTCATGAAACCAAAGAGAAATTGTAGTGGGAGAGAGGAAATTAGGAAATGGGAAGGTAGGAGGGTAGGTTAACAGATTAAGGCATTAGAAGGTCTGGAAAAGGCCATCGTTTGAGGAAAGAAAGACCCTGACAACGATGTGGGCAGAAGCTGGACCCCAAGTCAGGGAATGAGTGAGATGATGAGGATGGGGGAATGACCCAGAGGCTTCTTCTGGTCTTGAAATAATTTTTCTCTTCTTATAGAGGCCACCCTTCTGGGAGGCCACACAGCTATCAGGACTTGATCGGAAAGAGGCTGAGAATCAGACAGTACCAACATTGGAAGAGTTATTGAAGGAAGCTGCAGTCCTCAACCTTTCCATTATGTTTGATTTGCGCCGCCCACCACGAAACCACACATACTATGACACTTACGTGAACCTGACATTGGAGACTGTGCTGAATTCAAGGGTCCCTCAAGCCATGGTGATATTGCCAGGATCCCAAGTGCCCCTCACCACCCCCCACACTGCCTTCCCTAGGCCATGGTGACAATCTTGAGCTGTCCCTTCCCCAGGGCCCCACCTAGCTCATTTACCCCACTCTGTGGTCAAACCTCTCTGCTCTTCCCCTGCCCCTGGAATCCCCAGGCCTTCCCCAGCTTCACACCCATCCTCCTTGAACCACAGGTCCTTTGGCTCCCAGATGAAGATCGGGCTAATGTCCAACAACGGGCACCCAGAATGCATCAGATATATGGACAGTTGGGAGTCAACAGAACTGAGAGACCCCTGTTTCTCAACCTCCCCTATCAAGACCTACCACAATTGGATATAAAGTAAGTGCCAGAGGAAAGGAGCTGAGGGGATCACATGCAGCTTAATGGTGGGGAAGAGCCAATGTGGGGAGGGCAAAGACCACTCATTCATTCACTCATACAACAAATATTTATCAAATGCTTACTGTATGTCAGGCACTATTTATTGCAGTCTTTGGGCATACAACTGAAAGAGAAAAACAATAAACCATTGAACAAAATATATGCATATTGGACACTGATAAATGATATGAAGGTGATAAAATGGGGAGATGCAATAGAGCAATTGGAGTTGGGAAGGAGGGGTTAGTGAGGGGCCACATTAGGAAGAATGGTTAAAGAAGTGGTGCCTAGGCTGAGACCTGATGCATCACAGGAGTGAACAATGAGGAGAGCTGCAGAAGAGCAGGAACAGCAGCCTAATGAGCAAGGTGGAGGTGAGGCTGGAGAGGTGGGCAGGGAACAAATTGGATCAGACCTTGTAGGCCAAGAGAAGGGTTTTAGCTTTCATTCTACACCAAAGAGATAAGTGCTAGAGAGGATGGATGCAAAGGAGAGAGGTGATAGAGTCACCAATGTGAGCTAGGCCCCCAAAGCTGACCCATCCAGTAAACATGATCAACCTCAAAACATTCAGCCGCCAAGATCTTTTCTAATGTTCTTCTGGTTAGATAGAACAAAAAATGTGTGCTGAATGATAGATAGACCAGTTATAATAAATATTTCAAAGACCTTTCCTCAAGTTGTCACCATGGAGGGAGACAACATTGGGGTGCCCCTCACCTTAGTCTTGTCCTGGTCAGCATTGACTGCCGATCACATTTCCAAAACATGTGACTTGGTAATGAATATATCAATGATGAAATCAAGGCCCTGAAAGGTCTAAGCACTCTGAGATGATAGGCCAAAGGTACCAAGATGAAACGCAACAGGGATAGATGTAAAAACCCATATTTGGGGCTCAAAAGAAGCTCAGTTGCTCAAAGACAAGAGAGGAGACACTGGCATCAGCAGAAATGTGTGCAAAAGACCAGGGCTTTGATTGGACACTGTGCATAATGAGTCATCGGTGCACGTCATATTGCTGAAACTAACCTGACCGTGGGCTGCCTTCATACAGGCATAGTGCCGAGAAGGCAAGAAGAGTTTTGTTCTACTCAAAGCTTGTGCAAGCCACCTGGATATCATTTGCAGATGCATACTTTGAAAGGAACATTGATAAACTGGAGTAAGATCAGGTTAAATGGGTTTGTATAGTGAAGGAGATAAGCCAGATTCCAAGCCCCAGCTAGAAGGACAGTGACTGTTGGGCCTACAAAAGAGAAGACTCAGGGGGACATGGTCAATGTTCCTCAGACCATCGAAGGGCTGTCATGGGACAAAGAGGAGAGACACATTTGTGTGACCCCAGACAGCAAAATTAGGAATTCACCAAAAGGCAGAGTTCAGCTATGCAAAGAAAATCACTTTTGGTCAGGGGCTGCCAAGCACAGGTTGAACTGATAGCTCCTTTGCAGTGACACTGTAGATTCAAGCCAGACAGGAGCTGCCTCCCATGCCTTGTGCCCCACGGTTCTGGATATCACCTGTTTCTTTTTCGCCTCCATAGAGCACTGCATGAGGATAATGTCTCGGTGAACCTATTTGTTGTGAACAAGCCCTGGCTCTTCTCCATACTCTGGTGTGCAGGGGTGGATTCGGTCACCACCAATGACTGCCAGCTGCTGCAGCAGATGCGTTACCCCGTCTGGCTTATTGTGAGGGCTCTACTACTGTCAACCTCCTCCTATTTCCTCTTCCCTGATTCTCCTTAACTCTGCCCCTCTCTTCCTTTCTCCCCCATATACTACCTTTGGGGCTCTGGCCACTAACAGGGGCCCTTTTTTTTTTTACTCCCACAGCCCCCTAAAACCTACCTAATGATATGGCTCCTCATTGATTGTGTCTCCACCCTGCTGATTTTGTGGCTGTTCCTCCTCCGTGGGTGAGTGTTTTGTGCCTTAGCTTTCTGGATATTTATTCTCCCCAGGGTCCTGGTGATGGGACTGATTCAGATTCATACTGCCTGGAGTTTGGGGTTGGGTCTGTTTGGTTCCTTTGAGATTCTTAGACCCTTCCTTGGACACCAAATTGGCTTGAACCTGGGAAAAGCAGTTTGGGGGAACCCAGGTTCAAAAGGTCATGCTTGAAGGTGGCTGAACTCACCATGGGAAGCTTTTTTCCCTGTAGGAGATGTGCCGAGAAGAGAGAGATAACTGGTAAGAACTTTCTCCCATTACCTCATTTTTCTTTTCCACTAGCATTCCCATTACTCATTCTTGCCATGTCCTCCTCACCTCTCCAGGCTTAGAAACAGCTGTGCTGCTGACCAGGATCAACAATTTCATAATGGAGTGAATGCCCTGCCCTAGGCCCCCACCAGCCAGAGTCTGAGGCCTGTCTACATCTGTCAACAGCAAGGAAGGGAGCATGGCTACAGTGGAATGGTGGAGTGAACTTTGAATTATGAGGGAAATGGTGGATATGCCCCAAGCTTCTATGGAATCTTCTCCCCTTTGGGTTTTGACCTGAGGTGGTGGTGGAAAACAGTAAATCATGAGAAATGTCTCCCAGAATAAAACGTTCTAGAACAGGGGAGATTGCCAAGAAAATGTTTCAGACTTGTGTGCACATGTTCTTGTGTAGAAAGCACAGGGTGTATCAGGGATGGAACAGCTTGGAACAGTGACTGAAGGAGAGATGAAAACGGCCTTCCTGGAGAACCCACCCCACTCCATTCACTGTGTCGCCCCAACCACTGCAATTTAGCTGCTTTCCTGCATAGAGGCTGGGAGCTAAAGAGCCCATCTAGCCATGTAGTTCTATGCCTACAGGTGGCTTTTTACTGCGTACAGCCTTTTTCTTCAAGACACGTTGGTTCATGTTTCTTGTCTATTAATCCTTTTCTGAATGAATTTAATTTCCATTTGTCCACAGTCTCATCTTTTCAGCACTAGGGGGAGGATGCACCCTCCATCTACGGTTGTATGTGATGTGACAATGAGGGGTCATCATGAGGAGATGTATGGGTTGGAGGGGGGAGGAGGACCACTTGAGGCAATGAAGCACTGCAAGAGGGGAATGAAGGAGCCACTGTCAAGGGAGGGGGTCAGGCGGCCCAAGGAGCGTAGTATAGAGTTGCTTTGTAGCTCCACCTTGTGGTCACCTTCCCCAAGAGGAAGGCTGCGCGTCGGTCATGTTTGCTGAATGACACCTGTTTCCCCTGCCAGCTGGGGACCTGTGTCCTTGACTCCGGACCCTGAGGGGCAAAGTCCTATTTCCACACGTTTTCGCTTATCTGGGCTGCGCGCAGGGTCTGGGTCCCCGGTCTGCCTTTCCCGCGAAGAGCAAGTTTCCAGTGTGTTTCTGCTCGTGAGTTCCCAGGTGACTAGCGCGGAGCTGGCCTAGGATAAGTCGCCTGATAGAAGGGGGTGGTACTAAGGCAAAAAGGTGAACAGGAGGGGGCTCTATGGCTGACTCTTTGGTCCCCCACCGCACCAACATTCGCCCCAATTTACATCTCCACACGAAGCCAAATCGAATTGAGGCTTTGGCAAGGGAGGTTCGGTTCTCCATTCCTCCCCTCTCCCCAGACTGGAACCTGGGAGCGCACTAGCACCTCGAGACAAGCCCCTACTCCAGCGGTTCTCAACCTGTGGGTCACGACCCCTTTGGCGGTCAAACGACCCTTTCACAGGGGTCGCCCAAGACCATCGAAAACACATATATAATTACATATTGTTTTGTGATTAATCACTATGCTTTAATTATGTTTAATTTGTAACAATGAAATTGGGGGTCACCACAACATGAAAAACTGTATTAAAGGGTCGGGGCATTAGGAAGGTTGAGAACCACCTACTCGGTGGCAAGGAAGCCCCTGGAACTACATTTCCCAGAATGCCCAGCCACTTCCGGCCTCTAGATTTAGATTAGGGGCGAGTTTGTATTTGTGTTCCCACCCCCACTCCTCCAGGACATCGTCCCTTCCTCTCGTCCCCGCCCCTCCCTGCACACACATGCACTCACACAGGCAGCGGTCCGCGCCAACATACCTGGCCTGCAGCTGGCGCGGTGGGCGGGGCACGGCGTGCTGCGCGCTGGCCGCCAGAGGCGCCCCGGGAGCGCGCGCCGCGGCTGTTGCAGGCCTGGTCCTTTGGGGTCCACGCCTCCTGCTACCCAGCAGATCTTCACACAGTACCTTTCTGGGCTGCATATCCTTCCTTACTTTTGCCCGTTCCCGATCCCGCCCCTGAATCAGGCCGACTGCCCGCCTCAGCTCTGGGTCGCCACGCCTGTCAGGTACTGCAGGCTCTCATCTCTCAGCATGTGCCTCCGCTCCCCATCCCTACTTTTCTTTCCCAGCCTCACAGCCCGGCAGCTTCTTCCTCCCCTCCCCTTCCTACCTAGCCCTGACAACCTCCAAGGTCTCCAGTCCCCGCCTGCTAAACCACCAGCTCCCAGACTCTCAGCTTCCAGACCCCCAACAGAATGCAGAACCCAGCCCCAGCCCCTAACCTCTTGCCCCTAGCCCCAAGCCTTGGGTACTCAGCTCTGACAGCACACTTAAGCTCTGTGAGGCCCCGAGCTGGAGACTAAAACTGACAAAACCTTGAGGGCGGAGGGCCAGGGGGAGCTGCTCATTGGAGTTCGGGTGCAGTTGCTCTCCGTTATTTTTAACTGATGACTCACAGCTTCTGGCATCCGGGTTTGGGGCAACCAGAATGGGTTAGGGGGGTTATTAATAGAGCTGAGGCACAGCCCCGACCCAGTTCAGTGTGGAAGCATATAGAGCAAGGAGCCTCCCCCTGCCACCATGCCCTGTGGAGGTGTGGTCGATTGGGGCAGTAGCTGGACCCTCTCTGGCTGCCAGTATCTTAGCATGGTGTCTATACCTTGCAACTCTTGAGTAAAAGCCCACCATGAGACTCCTGGGCACAGCTCTCCACTAAATTTGCAGTGCTTTGGGGCTCCACCACAATGACACTCCTGTTTTACTAACTGAGAGTGAAGAAACGAGTCCCAAGTGGAGAGGTTTTTGTGGCCCCAGCCTTGAACTGCCTAGACCAGTGATGGCGAACCTTTTGAGCTCGGCGTGTCAGCATTTTGAAAAACCCTAACTTAACTCTGGTGCCGTGTCACATATAGAACTTTTTGATATTTGCAACCATAGTAAAACAAAGACATATTTTTGATATTTATTTTATATATTTAAATGCCATTTAACAAAGAAAAATCAACCAAAAAAATGAGTTCGCGTGTCACCTCTGACACGCATGTCATAGGTTCGCCATCACTGGCCTAGACCAACACCTGGGCCAGAATGCTAGGTTACTAGGAGAAAAAGCTCTGGTCCTCAAAAGCTCTCATGAGGACAGGATGTGCCGCATGGTGGTAGCAGAGAGGGAGGGCACATAGCCAAGAATTTGCTAGCCCCAAACCAGACACAGCATTGGGAAGCTGCCGAATTCTTTGTTTACCACCCTTCCATTCTTTTTATTTTTCCCCTCTTATTGGGCTCTGTACCTACTCACAGGGGTCAACAGACCTCAGAATCTCTCTCTACTCCATAGAGAAAACTAGTTCAGGAAAGCTCATGAGAAACTTGTCTCCACCAAGGTAAGAATGATCCTTTGTATACTGCCATTCCTATGAGGCCTTTTAATTTTAATGAGCTAAAGTAGGAGCTCCCTAATTTATACATGGGGAATGATGGGGAAATCTTGATATCTTCCTGGACTAATCACCCAAATTATTCACATCCATGCCCGAATTGCTAGAATTCCCATTGACCAAGGATGTGCACTCACAGCAGTGCCCCCTACTTGCAAACCAGAAACTTCTGCATTCAACCACCCCAGACTCTGGTTCCCAGGTGAAAGGGTGATTGTTTCTCCACATACAAAGACTGAGGTCACCCAATGAAGCTCTACTTTTAAGAATGAGCCCAGATTATCAAACAGCAGCGGGTTGTGCTGCCCCAACTCCATCAGTTTACTAAGGGTGACAGAGAGTGAATGGGTTGAGAAATGGTCTCTCTCTTCTGAAATCCCTTCCCCAATCATCCATTGCCTTAGTCTGAGCAGCCTACCAATCATAGTGCCTGCCAGTGCTCTGCTCAGGGCTTCTTTGGACCAGTAGGGAACTCCTATCTTCCTGGTGCCTCAGGCTCTAGCAGTTGAGAGGGAGTTCCAATATCAAAGCATTTCAGGGTTGCCAACCCAGTCCAGTCTGAGTCTCAGAGAGCCTGTGGAGTGGGGAGAAGCTCACTATGAATCTCAAGGAAAAGATGAGAGAGAGAGAGAGAGAGAGAGAGAGAGAGAGAGAGAGAGAAAACCAGTCAATGGAGATGGGGTTTGGGAAGGATAGTTTGACCCTCTCCACTCACTCCAGGCTTAGCAATGCTTATTGCTCAATCAGAGCAATTCAGAGGGCCCAGGCTATATGTAGTCCCCCCGGCCCCAGCCACTTTGTCTATATTGACAAACTGCTGAGCATATAAAATACTTTAATCTACCGGGTTATCAGTCTAGCACAGCCGTGGGCAAACTACGGCCCGCGGGCCGGATCCGGCCCGTTTGAAATGAATAAAACTAAAAAAAAAAAAGGCCGTACCCTTTTATGTAATGATGTTTACTTTGAATTTATATTAGTTCACACAAACACTCCATCCATGCTTTTGTTCCGGCCCTCCGGTCCAGTTTAAGAACCCATTGTGGCCCTCAAGTCAAAAAGTTTGCCCACTCCTGGCTCTAGCATGAAGGAAGATATTCATTCGTTTGTTCATTTAACAATAATAATTAACTCTAACCCACTGTATACCAGGTATTGTGTTGAGTGTTTTACATTTAGTCCTTACAAAAACCCTATGATTATTTCCATTTCATAGATAAAGAAACTGAAGCGCAGAGAAGTAAAATAACATCCAAGATCGCCCTAGCAGGTCTGGCTCAGGGGATAGAGTGTTGGCCTGGTGACCAAAGGGTCCCGAGTTCGATTCTGGTCAAGGGCATGTACCTTGGTTGCAGGCTCCTCCCCGGCTCTGGTCCTGGTCAGTCCTCATGCAGGAGGCAACCAATTGATGTGTTTCTCTCACATCGATGTTTCTCTCTATCTTTCCCTCTCTCTTCCACTCTCCCTAAAAAAATCAATGGAAAAATATCCTTGGATGAGGATTAATGAAAAATAAAAATAAAATAACATCTAAGTTCACACAACTAGTGACTAGGTTGGGTCTGACAGCAACCACTGTGTGCCAGGGTCTAAGAATGTAGAAAACAAGGCACTTCTCTCTTCAGGATCAAATAACAAATGTCATCTCCTTTGTAAAATGTTTCTTACATCCTCTCCTCACAAGTAGAGTTGATAACTTGCTTTTCTATACACTCCTCTGAGGTAGCACTTTTCACAGATATTATAAAAATTGGCTTTCATATTTCTATTTCTCTAACTTTGAGCACCTCAGCAGCAGGACCTGTTTACTATTCATCTTCACTTGGAAGTCTAATAGGCATCTCAAAATCAGCATATCAAAATCTGAACACCTGATCTTTTCCCCAAAAATGACCCCTCATAAGCTGTCATCATCTCAGTTGATGGCAATTTTATCTTCCAAGTTGCTCTGACCAAAAACCTTGGAGCCACACCTCATGTCCAATTCGTCAGCAAATCCTATTGACTCTCCCTTCAAAATTCATCTGAAATCCAACCACTTCTCATCACCTCCAGTGCTGCCATAATGATCCAAATCACCATCACCTGTCATCTAGATCACTGCAGTAGTCTCCTGACTGGCCTTACTGTTTCCACCCTTGTCCACTGTGACCTATTATCCATACAGGAGCCAGAGATATCTTGGTAAACCCAAGTCATGTCATGTTAGTTCTCTGCACAAAACCCTTCAATGGTTCACCATCCCCTTAAGAGTATAGCCCAAATCCTTACAATGGCCTACAAGCCCTACACGATCTGGTTCCTACTAAATCTCTGATCTCAGCTCTTAGTACTTTCCTCCCTCACTCTGTTCCAGCTACTTGGACCTCCTTGCTGTTCCTTGAACAAGCCAGGTGCACTGCTTACCCAGGACCTTTGCATTGACTGTTCCCTGGCTAGGTTTACTTTTCTGCATGGCTCACTTCCTCGCCTCTCTCAAGTCTTTGCTCAAATGCCACCTTCTCAGTGAGGCCGACTTTGATAAACTTATTTAAGATTGCCTCTATTCTAATTTCCAGTGTACAGTACATACAGGGCACAGAGGAATGAGATAAATGACACCATGCGGGGAGGGGGGGGCAGACAAATCAAGAATGTAGGATATTCTACAAAACAGCCAATTTGTAAACTTCAGAAAACTAATTAAAAGAAAAAAGATGAGACTTCTAGTTCTTGTCCCAGCTGGAGTAGACACACTTCTCCCTATCCCTCCTGCTAAAACCCTGGACATTATACATGAAACAGACATAAGATTCTGAAAGAAGAAAGGGGCAGACTGACTAGGAACTCCAGTGATCTGAACTCATGGTGGTGAGTTCCCTGGGTTTTCTTGTTGCCTCATATATCCCAGAATGGGTACCAGAGAAGTCATCAGCCTGGAAATGCCAGTGATCGCAAACCAAGAAAGGCCTCAATAAAAGCCTGCTCTTTCTAACTAAAAGACTAGGAAATGGGCAGCATAGCCAGACAGAAAACTCTTAGACAATAACCATTCTACTACAACTGAACATCATAGAAAAAAACTTAGCCCCACCTATACCAGAAAAGGCTAAGTAGAAACCCAGACTTCCACTCTCATCAGACTCTCCCATACGCTCTCTGGGGTGGTGCCAGAGAAGGTGGAATAGGGAACCTGGGCTTCTATCCCCACAAAGTACAAGGCTTCTCCTCCCCACCAGGTGGTGGCAGAGTGCCAGAGGAGGGCTAGGGGAGCACCAGGACTTCTGCCCCTGCCATATCCCTCCTCTCCTCCCCACCCCACTTCTCTACCACCCTCACACCTACCATGGTCAGTGGAAGCCCCCAGGAGATCATGAAAAAGGCACTTCAACCACTTCCAGACAGAGAGGTGTCACTAGAGAGCTGGAACTTCCACCCCTGCCCAACAGTAAGGAGGAGCCCCCATTCTGGAGTATCAACTGGTACCACGGGGGGTGAGAGGGCACTTGTACTTCTACCCCTACATGGCAACAGTGTCAGAAGAAGCCTATCAAAAAACAAACATTTAAATAAGTTTCAGAGTCTCATAACATAATATCCAAAAATATCTGGGGAAAAAAATCACTTATCATACCAGGGACCAGGAGATTCTCAACTTGAATGAGAAATAATCAACAGATGGCAACAGCAAGATGACAGAGAACTTTAAATGATCTGACAAGGATCCTAAATTGGCCAACATAAACCAAAAAATACTTCAGTAAGCAGTTACAAACAAGGTTAAAACAAATGAAAAATAAATAGAAAGTCTGAGCAAAGAAACAGGAGATACAATGAAGAATCAAATAGAAACGTTAGAACAGAAGGATACAATATCCAAACTAAAAATTTCAGTGGATGGGCTCATCAGCAGGATGGGAAGGGACAGAGGGAAGAATCAGTGAACTTGAAAATAGAACATTAGAAATTATCAAATCTGAACAACAGGAAAATAGATGACGGAGAAGAAGAAGAAGGAGGGGGAAGAGGGGGAGGAGGAGGAGAGGAGGAGGAGGAGGAGGAAGAGGAGGAGGAGAAGAAGAGCCTTAGAGAAATGTAGGACTATAACAAAAGACCTAACATTTGTGTCGTCAGAGTCCCAGGAGAAGAGAAAGCAGGTGGGGCTGAAAAAGTTCTCAAATAATGGCTGAAGATTTCCCAAATTTGGCAAAAGACATAAACCTACCGATTTAAGAACCTGGACAAATCCCAAACTGGATAGACTCAAAGAAATCCATGTCAAGACACATTACAATCAAACATCTATAATAATAAAAGCATAATATGCAAATCAACTGAACAGCCAAACAGCAGAACAACCTTCTGGATGACCACGCTATGACACCCACTGGCACTAGGCCAGCCAAGGCAGGTGAGATGCAATTGGTCGGTGGCGAAGGGGGGGGGGCGGGCGCACTATTGCCCCATGATTGCCCCACAGAGGGAGGCCCAGGCCATTGGCCAACAGGGTGATCAACTGGGGGGCTCCGCGATCACCCCAAAGAGGGAGCCCCAGGCCACCAAACGGCAAGCTGTGGTGGGTGGGCGGGGCCTCCCTCTGCGGAGGTGATCCATCACAGGGCTCCTGGACTGTGAGAGGGAACAGGCCAGGCTGAGGGACCCCCCCCCCCCTGAGTGCACGAATTTCATGCACCAGGCCTCTAGTCCTATATAATAAAGAGCTAATATGCTAATTAGACTGAACAGCAAAATGACCGTCCGGACGACATTCCAGATGACCATCTGGACGACCTTCCAGATGAAGCCGGGGCTGTGAGGGCTGGCCAAGGCTGCGAGGGCCAGGCCCTTTGCATGAATTTCATGCATCGGGCCTCTAGTTTGAAAATAAAACAAAGTGAAAATCATTAAGTAGCAAGTTACCTACAGGGGAAAAACAAATGTCAGTGGATTCTCACCAGAAACCATGGAGGCCAGCAGGAAGTGGCACAACATATTTCAAGTGTTGAAAGAAAAGAATTGCCAACCTTGAATGCTATGTCTAGTGAATGTATCCTCCAGAAATGAGGGGGAAATCAAGATATCCTTAGACAAAGGAAAGCAAAGAG